TTTATGGGCGTGGCCGGATGGCTGGGTGGGCGGGAGCGGCTGGGGAGCCGGAGGCCATTGCTGGATGCTGTTCCTCAGACGCGAGCTCGTAGCGGGCACGTTGAGGGACAGGGTTGAGCGGTGACTACGAGCAGACCCAGGCGGCGTCAGGCCGTTGCTCGACCCGAGGGCGCCTCGAGGACTCAGCAAGGGCGAAGGCTGTCTCGTTCGGTCAGGTCTCAGGGACGAATGCGAGGGTTGGCGTGGGTTCGGGGTGAGCTGGCTGGAACCGGGGGCGACATTCTTGAAGGTGATCTGGCACCGGATCTCCTCGCCGGCAAACACGGTCTGGTCATCCCATTTTATGAAGACGCGGATGTTGATGGAGCGTCCCTCGGGCGGCATGGTGGCACTCCTTCAGACGAAGGAGAGGAATCATGAGCGTGACCTCATCGTCGTCGATGCTCGAGCCGGAAAGAAGGGGACACCGCGCTTACAGCACGATGGATGGCGCTCAACCAGAACGCGCAGCAGACGTGGAGGGCTGACGTAGGCGCAGTCGTGTTCGTGTTCGTGATGGTGGTGGTGGTGGTGGTGACGACGGTGATGGTGATGGTGTTGGTGTTGGTGTTGGCTTAGTTGTGGAGGGCTCCCAGAGTGATACAGTATTGTACGTAAGCTGTTTCTAAGTAGCCTCGAGGTGTCGTGGTGCTGGTCGTGGGTCGACGGTCGAGGTCGGAGGGGGTCCAGACTCCAGCGATGAGCCGTGATAGCCGCCTCCTATTTAATGTTGGCTTTGCTAAAGGTGACGTCTTGTCCCAAAGGGTATCTAGTTATGTACTTCAGTAGTCGGGCGATGGACAATTGGAACTTTTACGATGACAATGCGAATGTATGTCGTTCTATGAGAGACAAATGCGACTATTCACAGGCTGTATGTAGTAGTAATACTTCAAGTTGTATATGTATGGTGCTTACGAGTCCGGACTGCAGCATAGCTCCAATGATAATTGCCCGTCTGGGAAGGAGTACTGTAAGTAGTGTACTGTACCTTACCTTGCTAGATGCTGCTATGTATAGCTGTGGTACGGTACACTACATTAGGGACTGTACAGTACAGTACAGAGGTTGGCTAAGCTGTGCGGGGGCTGGTAACAACCCCACATGCCGGCCGCATTGTCCCTAAGTTCGATCGATCTACATAGCACTGTACTCATCCTCGTCCTCCCATTCACCTTCATACCTGCTTACACTTACACTTACAACTTGAGGCCTAGGTGTTCACTTGAGTCGAGGCAAGACATTCGTGAAAAAAGAAAAATGTTTGTACGATAAGTAACGACAACCAAGTATCTACAGTTCTATCCTTCCACAGCAAAAGCTATGGGACAAAAGACTCCTCCCCTATGCACCTGGGTTATACACAAGACCCTCGGCCTCCCGAGTCCACCCGCTTCAAATCCATAACTGACGCTTCAAAGGAAAATATATCAAGGAGTGTCGGCCACATGCTATTATATACAAACCTCGTGGCCATATGCTTATTCTGGAGCATCGAGCTCCCATTCCGTCGTGTCGCCTAGGGCCTCCGGTGGTATTCGTCATGTCTACCCAGACAATCAATCACCTTCCCTACTCTCTTTTTCCAACACTCGTGATCCTGGGTCATCATGTCCTCACTTCTGTTCCTACCCCCCTCACTCCTCGCTAGGTCAAGGTAGCCTTGACAATGGCAGCTTAAAGCCAGTCACCGCTCATGTTCTTCTTGTGTTCTTCGTGGTACAATTCCGAGACTCCTCCACATCCACCACAGGGGACCACCGTCCCAAATGTGCATTTGTTGCATTTCCCGCAGTGCCACTCTTGCCGTTCACTGCATCTTCCGCATTCTCGGCAGTGCCATATCTGGTGGCCATGCTGCCAGCTTCCTATCCGCTCGCCACTGCCGTAACAGAACGAGAAGAACCACTTTTCGCTCTTGTCGCCGAGTTCGAGCCCGAGACGTAGCAGTTCGCGTTGGAGCTTTTCTGTCTGGGCTTCGGGATCCGGCCCACTATAGCTCGTCTCCCATTTCACCCGCCACGCGTCGATTGCCTCGTCGTTGCCATCCGGTACATAGTCCAGGCCGGTCAGAAGATGATCGAATAGATAATCAAGCGTGAGGTTCTTGTTCTGCTTATGCTTTTGCAAGTACGTGATGAAACAGGTGTCAAGTCTAACGTCAGTGCCGAGAATGTTGTCGAGCGCAACGCTGTTAAAGTTGTTTTCGCATGTCTCGTCACAGCCACAAGAGGCAATACAACCATAGCCCTGATTGCTGCAGGCGCAGTTCTGGCAGAGGTGGTGGTGGTGGGTATGCTCCGGGTCAGGCTCCTCATGCTCATTTTCGCAACGACAGCCGAAAGAGGATGGAGCAGGGCCATCCGTTTTTTTCTATTAAAATTTACGTTAGTTAAACCATGGCTTGGCAGAGTGTATGGAGGTATCGTGCCGATACGAAAGGCAGACGTGTTTGGCTTACCTCTGTTACCGGCGCATCCGGTCTATACTCGGGAATTGGTGCCAACGATTGGGTATCTTCGAACTCTTCGAGATCCTCGTCGAACTCCACTCTAACTTCTGGGGTGGTTTCGGAGCCAAATACACGCCCGTCAATGCTGCCACCCATGCTGCGCCCATCCGCGGCGGCCAAGCTCTCCTCGGGTGTGAGGGCCCATTCCTGTTCCCAACGCAGGAATTGCGGTGTCTCGTTGGATAACCACGAGTCGTACCAACGGCCAACGGGCGGTCTCTGGCGGAATTCCTCGAAAAACTTCTGACCCAACTCCTCTGTGAGGCGCTCCAGTGTCGTTCGCATATTGCGAATTATGCGCATCCGTTCTGCCTTGTCGTGAGGGGACATAGCACTCTTCTTAGAAGCCTGTACCTGTCGCATAAACCCACTGCTAATATTGCCTTGGATATCGCACACTATCGACTCAGAGACAAACTTGATCATTTGCTCATGCGCAGCTGGGTCGTCGGCCGGGACGGCACTCCAGCTAACTGGGCGCGCCGGTGTCCCGTTTGGATGTAATCGTCTCATTGTGCTGGCCCCAGATCCATCCATGTTGTTCTCAGTTAGTTTTGGATTCTGCCACATTATAGGATTCCCAGCGCGATGACGATCAAGATAGTGTGATCGCAAGGAGAGTAGGAAATGGTTCAACCACGACAGCGCAGCGAACAACAGAAGACACATGCAAACGGGCAAACCACTCAATTTCCACTTTTTACACCCAGATTATCAGTTTAATAGTATTTGTCTTGCCTGATTACGGATTCATTCTTAGCATCTTCTACCACATGTGAACCATGATTTGTCAAGATTGCTACTATGATTAGTACTAGCTAGTCCCCAGAGGCGATCCTTCGACAGGGTATGTTTCTGGAAAACAGTCAGCAAGGCAAGCTACCAAGGCCCTAGTCAGAAGTCAAAAACGACACCACGTCAACGAATCGCCCACGCCCCTATAAAGGGGCTGCACGCCATCCTCTCAGACAACGCAACCAAATACACACTAATATGAATTGGAAATGGTCGTAGAGGTATTATCTGCCGTTGCGGCTCAAGCTTGGCTTAACTTGACAAACCCACCGTCCGCAGGGAGTTGGCTATTACTGGTCAGCCACCCATTCCGCTGTGTAGCTGACGGCAAAGCGCGGCTGGGAATTACTAGAGCGCGGCAAATAGCCCTCTTTCAGCTGATAAACTTACCTGTGCTGAAGGAGCTGGCTGGTGAGATGGCGGTTCAATTTTAGAAGATGATAATAACACTGCTGCTATCGGCACAGCAGCCGAGGCTAAGCTAGGCTTGGCGTCATCTGTCCTTCGTGTAAGTACGTATTTGGCGGACTTACTTATGGTGCTATCTACGAACAGGAAGGACTACGAAAGACACTTTACTCTAGACTTCTATTATACTAACCTAGGTACAAGGTCGGGAACTCCCGTAAGATCCGACGACGGGTTCTACTCACAGGCCAAGGCTTGCGTGCACTAGCCAGATAGCGTAAATATATCTGTAGCCCATGCCTGCCTGTGTCGTGTCTGTACAGTACTATGCAGTATGGCGTAATGATTTCCGATTGCTGTACTGTACAACGCTGAGAGAGGCTCGCACAGAAATGGCGAGAGCCGCTCCTACGTTGGACAGTAAGGAGATCGGTGTGCCTGTCTACCCGTTGATAACAAGGACAGCCCGACGGGAAAGCCAGTAATTTCGTATATACTAGTACAGAATGTGCTCCTGCAAATGGACCTGTTATTTCACTAGCCTATCTGGAGCTTCATCGATTGCCAGGAGACCCCAGATCTTCCATTTCCAAACCATGCTCTCGCTTCGCGTGGTGACGAGACTAACGCACCCTGCCCATGACTGGTAACGAGCCTGCGGTACCGAGTATACGCTTTTGTCGTCGACATGGTAGCTAATAAGTCTGATGCATACAGTAGTAAGTCTTTTATCCCAGGGAGGGTCCCGCATGTTCGCTTAGCTTTGGTGGCTTTTCGTACAGTACAGTATACGGACGACTTGTATTAGACGAATCTACCTAGCTGAGAAAAACGTTGCCAGCATTCTACTTATTTTCACTGGCTAGCTATACGGACATGGTTCACAGCTTTGTTGGGATCGATCGATCCCATGTAAATCAATTAAACCAGACGTCACTATTGAATCTACGCGACTAGACCCAACCCAAGAACCGCATAGTACAAGCAAAGCGAGCAAGCATGTATATGTATGCTTCGTTTGCCAAAAGACCTATTACCAACCTCACAAGGTGTCTGCGGTTCCGGAGCGCTTAGCGCCACCACCCGTCCGTATCTAGATACAATTACCTGCTTCGCTAACCTTAGCAACGCAAAAATTCTTAACGAAGCCCCAGTCTTTCGCTATGCGAGATCCAGCCCACATCCATCCCATCCCGCCGGAGCAATAGGCGGATATACCGCGACGCAGGATCACCAGCAAATCAGCGCCCGGTTAGCTCAATCGGTAGAGCGTGAGACTCTTAATCTCAAGGTTGCGGGTGAGTACTTACATATAACCGTCCCTTGCTCACCGAGAGACGATGATATTAACTCTCCTCTCTTAGGTTCGACCCCCGCATCGGGCTCAATTCCTGATGCCTCCCAGTTGACTAGGAGTAGTAACCTAATTTTTTTTTCTGTTTGATTCATTATTTTATTTTTCTTTGATTCCTCTTCCTTTTTTTTGGAAATTTTAGGCCGTGTTAGTGGCGGTTTTCAAGGTCTGTGCGTCAGCTAGCACGCACATGGCCGGTAAATACTCAGGGTTAAAAATTAAGTAAATATAAGTAAGTATTACTTATACTTATACTTATTTAAGTATTTTTTTTTAATATTTACTTATACTTATTTAATATAAGTATATTTAAGTATATTTAAATATACTTAATAAAGTTAAGCTTAACTTTTTTAAGCTATAAAATTTATTATTTTTAAAGGGGTTTAAAGGAAAAGTGGAACGTTTTATCATTAAACACCTTTATATACTAAGCTTTAATGCTTATATATACTACTTAACCCTTTATATATACTGCTTAACTTTTTATTTATTAATAAGGTTTAAGTATTTTGAATATTTTAAATATTACTTATATTTATTTACTTATACTTAAAAAATTTAAATATAAATAAATATAAGTATAAGTATTTTTTTTAATACTTATATTTATTTATAATGTTATAAATAAATATTTATTTATTTATATTTAATACTTAATACTTATTTTTTTAACCTTGTAAATATTATAATTAATATAAACCTTTATAAAGTTTATTAAATATAAAGTATATAAAGTTATTTAAAATAATGATTATATAAAAAACTTAATATAAAACTTATATTAATAAAACTAAGTCTTTTATATTATTTAAATATAAACGCGTGTTTATATAATATAATAATTAAATTAATTAATTAAATAATTATTATTTATTATAAAATAACCTTTATATTTAATAATTAAAAGTTTTATTTATTATATTAAACTATTACTTAACTAGTTATTAGCTAGAATAAGTAGTTATTATATAGAAACTATTAAGTATAAACGTAAAAATTACGTTAAAAAACGCGTTAAACTTTTATACATAAAATAAAAAGTTTAAAAACAAAGCAATAGCTTTAAACTTATAAGATTATATTAATTTAAACCTTAAAATATAAATATTATAACTAATATAACTAAAAATACTAGATATTAAAAACTACTTAAAAATAGTATTAATATTAAGCTTATTAATATAATTATTTATAATAGTAAATTTTAAAGGTATTAATATTATTTTTTTAAAAAATATTATAAAAATAATAACAATTAGTTGTTTTATATATAATATTAATTTAAATAATTATAATATTTATATATAAAAATATATTAATATAATAAAAATAATTAATTAATTAATTAAAAACTTAAGTATTTAATATTATATTTTAAAATTATAAAAATATAATATTTAAGCTAAATAAAACTATTAATATTTAATATAAATAATTATATATAATAAAAATATATTTATAAAAAATATTAAAGTATTAAATAAAACTAAAATATAAGTTTTTTATAAATAATATAATAAAATAACTATTAAAAAATCTTAAAATATAAATAACTAAATAAAAAAAAAACTAGTAATAGTTGTTAATTATAAAGCTATTAATTTTATTAATTTTTATAATTTAATTATAAATTTAAAAAAAGTTTTTTAAAAAAAATACTTAGAATAAATAATATTATATTAATAATTTAATAAAGATTTAATTAAAAAAAATATAAAATTATAAAAAAATAATATTTAATATAAAAAATAAAATAAACATTTAGTTTTTTATATAATTAAAATTTATAAAAAAAAGATTATATAAAA